TTTCTTTTCATAATTTTTGTAATATTTTCCAAATTTTTGTTTTAAAATGTTTCATCTTCTTCAGTTTGATCCTCATACTCTGGTTCATTAGTCTGAATCAGTTACCGTGACACTGAGTTTAATGGGTCAGGAATATCATTGACGCTAAACCGAACCCTCTGCTGCCCTCTGTTGACCTAATTAATCAAATGCCACTCATGATGAATATTCAAGGTTTCATCAGTGTTTTTTTACTTTATCAAAAACATTTGACACAAGTGTTTTTCTTCACTGGTTCCACCAAGTGAAAACACATTTAATCCAGTCGTAGTATTGATAGATGATGACCTTCTCGTCTCTCCGTCGTCACAGTGCTCCAAGACCTGTGGCCGCGGACTGAGGAAACGCAGCGTGATCTGCCATAGCACGGACCCGGGGGCTGGTGCAGTGGTTCTGCCTGATGGCATGTGTAGACAGCAGCTCCGACCCAAAGCCCAGGAGACCTGTGTCCTGCAGCGTTGTCCCAAAAATGAACGTCTGCAGTGGATCCCCACTCCGTGGAGCGAGGTAGGGACAGAGAGGTGGCAAAGGTCAAAGGTCAAAGGTTTTGTTGTCAATGTAACTGTTATTAATAATTAAAGTACATCATCACACTTCAGTCTATGTAGAAAATGTTACATTTGAACACTGATTCGAAATGATGAATAATTGAGTCACAGTACTGCAGGTTTACAGGAAGTACTGCGGACTCATGGTACTTCAATGTGCTTTCATGTGGTGCCTTCATCTGACGTTCATGTTCCACTAATAGAAGAATACATTCACAGTGACAGCTTTACACTCAGCAAGACATTTTTTTTACATTTTATTTGTTTATCAAAGTAATCCAGGATTCACTGAACTAACATAAAAGCACTGGTTCTCAAACTATGGTATTTGTACCACTGGCAGTGATAAGGCTGCCTCTAGTGGCCCGTTAGGGAATATATGTGTTTCCTAGTAAAATATTCTTCATCTTTCTGTTCCAGTGCTCTAGCTCCTGTGGCTCAGGGACCCAAAGGAGGTCACTTTTCTGCGGAGAGACAGACTCACAGGGAAGGTACGAGGCTTTAACTGCTAATGTTATCAGAAACGTACTCAGTACTGCATCATCTGTGTACTTGAAACATGACCTGCTTGTCTTCATTTAAACTCTTTCTACTTCTAGTTAAATTAACTTACAGTTCCCATGTTGGCCGTTAAATTCGTTACCATCTCAGCTAAGACAGGAAGTGATGTCACCACAGGCTGTACAAACACAGATTGGCCCTTGAGTCCAGGTTTCTAAATGTTTTTAGAAGTTTGTTCCTCAGGTGTGATGACAGTGTGATGTCCTCTCACTCAGGTACGTGGAGTTCCCCATACGAAGGTGTAGGAACTTGGCCAAACCACTGGTGGCTCTCCAGCAGGGCTGTAACCGGGGTCTGTGCCCTGGACCCCCGCAGGTCACCCCCGGAAATACAGGTTCCAGTGTTGTGTTCCTGGGCTGGTACTCTTCCCCATGGCAGCAGGTACAATCAGACTTAGTCACTGTCACCATGACAAACCTGACAGCTGACTGTAGTGATGCGACTTTCGTGACGTCCCCCCCCGCCCCTCTCTCCTTTTCTCTCCCTCTACCTCTTACACATCTGTAGTGACGTCCCCCCGCCTCTCTCTCCTTTTCTCTCCCTCTACCTCGCTCTACCTCCTCTCTTTCCTTTCAAACGTCTGACTCTGTTTTCTCTGGTTCTCTGTCTCAGTGCTCAGTGTCCTGTGGTGGGGGGGTCCAGACCCGCTCCATCCAGTGTCTGCGGCATGGTCGCCCTGCAGTTGGCTGTCTAGCCCACCAGAGGCCTGTGTCCTCCAGGGCGTGCAACACACACTTCTGCCCAGCTGCCCCCCCAGCTTCATCACATCGACCAGGCTGGAACACCAATCCAGGAGCCACATCAAAAGGTACTGAATGTGGGGAGTGGAGGGGGTGGGGGTGGGGTTAATTTGCTTCTCACTAAGAATGAGTGTCAGACAAAATCACTGACTGTATGTGTTTTTTAGTTGTTTTTTTAGGAATAAATATAATATTCAAAGCATTAATAGTTAAGTTTTCAGCTTGTTGTTTTTTCACTCTATCATTTTTCACAAACTGTCCACAACGAGTGATTTACTGTTGGTGAGACTGATTCAGGGACAACAACTGGTGTCGTTGTGCCGCTGCAGCGTAGAGTGGAAGTGGATTCAACTGCTCAAAAATTGGATATTTATCTTTTTGATGCGACTGCGGTCTTTCTTCTCACACACACACAAACACACACACACACGTACGTCTTCATTAATGTCTGGTGTACTACAGCTTGACAGTTTGTCTGGTTAAAAAAAGATGCATCTTATAAATAATGTCAGTGTTTCTGTTCAAACCAAACAGAGACAAAACAACGACATGAATAACAAGGAAACAGGAGAAACACAGCTTTTCATTCTGTCTCGTCATTTAATGGCAGCAAGAGAAAAAATAAAAATAAAATCCTGAACACTAATGATGTTTCCTCCCAGACATTCAGTCAGTAAATAAACATTGCTCTCCACTTCTCCTCCAGTCCAGCTGAACCAAAACGAACAGGCCAAAATAAATAACAACGTGTGTATCAGCAGTGTGAATGGACAGTGGAACTACTGGATACACAGTTAACATCATTCTGCCAATGTGTTTGAATGTGATATAAAAACTAAACATAACAAATTATTTCATGTAATTAATATTAATAAAATAATAATTTAAACTTTTATTGCCCATATTATGGAAATTCTTGTGTTAACACAGTGGTCCTTAATTATTTTCTGTCATACCCCCCCACAGAAATGGACAGAAATGTTTTCACGCCCCCACTCCTCACTGACACACACTCGCGCAAATTGAAATACTATTGAGAACCTGAAAACGTGTATATATTTATCTGTACAACCCACTGTATGAGTTGCTGCCACCTAGTGACTGGAGGCTGGTTATCATCATGTTCTATACAAATATTTAAAACTCCATTTAAATTCAAAGTGCATCATGTGTATCATGGTCTCTACAGACGGACGCTGTCTGGACCTGTTCAACTGGTGTCACCTGGTCCCCCAACACGGCATCTGCGACCACCGGTTCTACGGACAACAGTGCTGCATGTCCTGCTCCAACAGGAGACCCTAGAGCTGCGACGCCTCATCTGGACCTGCGGCGTTAGAACCTCAAAAGAACACGTCCGTTCTCCGTGATTCCTGACTGGACCTAGAACTGTCTCGGACAGCCAAGTTCCTGCCTGGAGAACCAGTCTGATGGACTCACAGTCAGACTCGTACAGAAGGATCGGAGTCTGGTCCTGGTGACGGTGAGGACACATGAGGACATTATGGACACGTCTCCTCCAGCTGTGTGAAGGTGTTTGAAACCAATTTAAATTATTATTGATTACAGTATATGAGGCAATATATGTTTCAGTGCTGCACAGTGAACCTCCGACATCGAGTGTGTGGACGTGACCCCGAGTCTGTGCTGTCGTACAGCAGAGGTCTCCGACCTATGTCTGTCTCACAGACCGGTTTCAGTCAGACCTCGTTCTCAGGACCAGTCGTCAAGGTGGGGTGATTAAAAAAACTGATTTAAAGACAAAGACAAATCAAAAGTGAACAGTGAACAGCGTGGGTTTGTCAGGTGACAATCAGCCGAGCTGATAAAACTGTTCCTTAGTCAGGACAGGGAATAGAACGTTCTATTATTTTTTCCAAAGTAAAAACGTCTTCTGCACTGGACGTACATCCATTCAGTTTCTACCACATAATCATTCCCAGGGTTGTGACGAGAGCAACAGCCAATCACAGCTCTTCTCATGTGTGGGTAGGGTTACACAACCATTCACATTCACACTAACATTCACACCTAGTAGTTGGGTACCTCTGCTACAGACCACAGTGTTGATAATACAAGCTAACATATATATCTGTACAGTTCTTAAATATATTCCTCTTTTTTGAAGTGTTTTTTTTCTGTTTCTCTGTTTAAATACAACCTGTTTTTTCAAATCTTCGTCTTTTTTCCCTCAGTCACAGCCTGAGCCTGGTGAAGTTTGACTTATATATTGTGAGGACTGAGTGGGAGTGTGTTTTTAGGCTGCAGATTTACTCTGGAGCAGATTTAGGGAAAGGACTAAAATTAATACTGACTGAGTTTCACCACCAGGGGTAATTGATTTCTGGAACAATCCTCTGATTGACTGATGCTTTCATTTCAAGCAGCATAAAGTTTTGCCCCGTGTGAGGTTCGAACTCACGACCTTCAGATTATGAGACTGACGCGCTGCCTACTGCGCCAACGAGGCTGATGTGTAGGTGTTGTTACACGGGACACTGTCGTGCGGTCGCTGGCTGGAAAAATGTTGATGAAATGCTGATCAGATTTCTCGGGTCTTTAATATTAAACTATTAATGCCTCTGTGCCTGCTCAAACCTCCATGCCATTCACTGACCTACTGACACAATGTCCATTAAAAAAGGACATTGACGAGCAGGCACAGAGGCATTCTTCTTCTTCTTTGGGTGAAACAGCAGCGGTTGTTGAGTTCTTTTTCAGTTGGGCTTCGACTGATGACCTTCTGGATGGAGCTCCGTGTTGTACTTCCTGTGTGACCCTGAGGTCATTCTCGAGATTATTCCGGATGAACAGAAAACACATTATAATGATAGGTCCTAATAAATACCAAATAGTACTTGGTAATTATCACAGAGACAGTACTTGTAGTACTTGCACTTGTTTCTGGAGCACTATCATTTTAAGCAACTGAATATTACAGTAAAATATTTTACTGCAACAGCAACATTGTTAATACAATGAATGTTACAGCAGCTCCGATGCTTTGTGCTGCGTCTGCGTGCTAAACGGCGTTGCCCCCCCGCCCTCTCGTACTCATGATTAACACCCACTTAGTGACTAAGTTGCCCAGTGTGTGCAGCCACACAGTGTGAGTCGTGGACACCAACATTAGTTTCTGTGGCAACTCCTTTAACTTTTTCTCTCCCTCTCAACTTTTCCCCACAGGAAGCTGCGAGGCTTGGTGTAGAACCTCACGCTGCTTTTCTTCCAGTGATTACCTCCCCTCCTGCCCCTCCTTCCCCTCCAACTCCCCTCTGGCACTGTGGGGGCATCTATTGCTCTTTAATCAACCTGTGTGCATGAATCATGAAGCCCAGAGTCCCCACGTCGTCTCGACTGCACGCTGTTTACTTGCACGCTGTGAGCCAGACATTACGAGCTGCGGCCCACACGCCCGTACGTCGACTCGGCAAACAGACACACAAACAACGTGGGATCCAAGCTCGCAACCTGTGTGAACACACACGGCTCGGAGCTCATGTTGATTGTGTGGATGCGCACGGGTTTGTGAGGCAGAAGACGCCGTAGTTTTACTGCCGAGCTGATGTAAGAATTGCACCAACATCCTGCTCTGACTCCCACCTGGGATTCCACTGCTGCAGTCCACGCTGGTGCATCCTGGTCTACGTCTGATTATGGCTGCACAGAGAATGGCAGGAACCAGAGCGGAGAAATCAAGAGACCAAGACAGGAAGAACCAGAAGAGACGGAAGGACGGTATTTATATCTGAGATCACAGTCGTTTAGACGAGAGGGTTTGAGCCGAACAGAATAGAACTGAATAACACATATCTGCTGCCATGTCTGGAGTTGACCCCACAACCCTCCGAGTCAAAGACTAGGCCTGTGAGTGTGTGGGGTCTTTTACCTGTTACTGTGTTACTGTGTTTCAGGACCAGTACAGCCAAACTAGACTAGTCCAGGAGTGGCCAACCAATCAGAGACCAAGAGCCTGTTACTGCAAGGAGCCACAAAAGTCCCCGTTGGAAATTCTTGGTTGATGTTAGCATACGATAGTGCAGTACTTCTCAAATAGTGGGGCAGGCCCCCCTCTTGGTCTTCCAATTAAATATGGCACGCCGGGCGGGGTCTTCCAATTAAATATGGCACGCCGGACATAAGTAATAATTGAATGATAACCAGCCTCCAGTCACTAGGTGGCAGCAACTCGTACAGTGGTTTGTACAGATAAATATATACATGTTATCAGATTCTCAATAGTATTTCAATTTGCAGGGGTGTGGAGGGGGTGGGGTGGGGGCGTGACAGAAAATAGTTGAGGAGCAGAGTGAACTGAAGTGCTGCTGAAGATCTGAAGCCTGGAAGTAATGATGCCTCAGGCAGAATGACGATCAACAACAACAACAACAACAACAAAAACCTCCCACTGTTAAATCCGTCCTGTGATTATCTTCATAGTTTTTTCTCTGCCCTTTGACTGTGAATTTGCATCAATGCTCATGTAGGTGAGATTCAAGCACTATAAAAATACACAAACACAAAATTTGACATAAACCTAAGAGCCGCATGTGGCTCACGAGCCGCGGGTTGGCCCTCCCTGGACTGTCCCTGGTCCAGGCTGATCCGTTCAGATATTTCTTTTATTTTCAGTCACCAGTGGATGTCGCTGTAAGTCATCTGTGAGGCAGAGACATATTTCCACTTCCTCATTGCTTCACAAGCAACTGTCAGGCAGCTGAGGTGGATGTAGGTGTGTGTGTGTGTGTGTGTGTGTGTGTGTGTGTATATGTGCTGGGCATGCAGTGAACCTTGATGGAACTCTTCAAAACTGACAGTCAGTCTAATCACATCTTCACAGAGTTTCATCAGTGTGTGTGTGTGTGTGTGTGTGTGTGTGTGTGTGTGTCTGTGTCTGTGTGTGTGTGTCTGTGTCTGTGTGTGGATGGAGAGACAGTGAGAACGATCTCTATTTCTTGCAGGGCCATCACCAAGGGCAGACCTCAAAATAAGTGAGTGATGTCATATTTTAAACCCTCCTCTTACACCAGTGCTCATGGACCAGGACCAGGACCAGGACCAGGACCAGGACCAGGACCAGGACACTGGAGGGTTCTGGTTTCTTCGGCCACTAAAAACAGCTAGCTTCAACTACAACGTACAACTTTTGGCAGTAGCTTTGGTGAGTGTTTACAGCAGAGATTCATCAGTCATGTCTGGGGGGCCATATATTACGACGCGGCGGGCCAGAATTGGCCTGCGGGCCTTGAATTTGACATGTAGATATACACGTGAAGCCCAGGTGGGCCACATAAAAATGAAGATTCAGCCCGAGAGCCTGGTGTTTGACACAACCTTCCATTTCTTCAAGACCCCCGCCACCCCTCCCCCCCCCTTCTAACAGTCAGTGCACACGAGAATGATAAAAAAAAGAAGACGTTCCTGCAGAGGGGAAGTGTTTGCTGCAGGACGACTGCAGCCTTTCAGAGGAGTGTGGATCGGCTCCGCTCTCACTGTGGGGCTCGGTTTTTCCTCCAGTGATAAGAGCAACCCCTCCCCTCCCTTTCCACCCCCCAGCCCCCCACCTGACAGATCTCAGTGATTAACAGCTCCAGAGACCAGCGACAGCTCTGCATCAATCCTGGCCTTTGTGCCTCTGTCACACCAGATGATTTAAGAGTCGAGTCGAGAGCGTGGATATCTCACTCACGTCCTGTTAACCCCCCCTCGGCCCCCCCAAAACCCTGGCCCTTGTCCTTAACCAGCACATACTCCCTGCCTGCCTCTAATTAGCCTCCCCCGCCGCCAGTCCTCATGTGTTCTCACATTAGCCGACGACTCAGATCCCATCTTCTCTTTGAATCTGTCCTTTATCACTGTCTCTCTCTCACCCCTCTCTGCCCCCCCTCCCTCTTTATCACCTATTGTTTTGGCTCCTTTGTTTTTAATTTGAACATTTGGAGACGGTAAATAAATGTAGTTAACGTGTGATGCTAACAATTAGCTGCAGCACGGTCCACACCCTCCCACACCTCACCACCCTACCCTCCCAAAAGTTCGAGCAACAAAAATCACGAGGAAAAACAAAACACCAAAGACGTTAGGACCGTGGACACTGTGATTTGTCTCCATTAAATGTCCACAGAAGAACAGAACCTGAGAACACAGTCTGTGATGACGTGTGATGTCATCAGTGATGTCGGATTTAGATTCCCATCTTCAGAGCTCGTCTGTGAATCGTCACAGCAGCGTTCTTCATCTTCATCATCATCATCAACTCTTCTTCTCCTTCAGATCGTGGATGTTTCTGCTGCTACAGCTGGAACTCCATCTTCTCTCCGGTTCCTCATCAGCTCCACTCTGAGGTGTCCAAACAGGAGAGGTCCTCGGGGTCACGCCGACCCCATCTGCAGTTGTGCCCACCTGCCTGTTAACCCCGTGACCTTCAGAAAATCACATCCAACTCACTGCCCTCCCCTTGTCTTTATCCCTTAACGTTGAATCTGCTTAGTGTCTGTGTGTATGAGGAATAATCAGAGTAACGTCACCTCCACCACATCCACCACATCCACCCCCCTCCTGTCTCCCCCGTCCCCAGAGATCCATTGCTTGAATTTGACATGAATTTATTCCTATGGACCCAAATACATTTTGTACAGTATTGATGTAGACACACACACACACACACACACACAGGTTGGCTGCCACACGTATGACAGGAGCATGAAAACACTTCCCACCGTCACCACTAGGGGGCAATGTTTACCCAACAATTCCATGACTTTTTCTGTCCCCTTGCCATCCACATTTGAAACCACATTTTGGATGCAAATCACAGACAACATAAACAAAAGATTTGGGGGTGCGGGGGGAGGGGAGGGTGAAAAAACAACATAAATCACACTTTTATACCTTAGATACAAGACGCACGCAAATAGATTTCTCTTGATTTTCTCCCACTGTAGCAACAACTCAATCAGCGACTTCTTTGACCTCTGCTGTCTAATCAAACATCACAGCCGAGGCACACACACACACACACACACACAAATTTGATTTTGTCAGCCGCCAGTTGGATGTTTGTAGCGACAGTCATAAGTTATTAATGAATTGTGTTCTCACTCGGCCGACTACAGGGAATGTCGTGGCACCACAGATATGTAAATTCCCGAAAACAATACATTTTCGGACTCTTTGGTCCATGATGCCAGCTGCATCTCTGCGGCGATTCTTTATTTTTTGCCCCATGTGGCTAACAAGATGAATTGGTACAAACAAGTCTTCTTGATTTTCCAGACCACCGGTGATTTCCTCAGTAAATGGAGTGCTCTCCACGCATGTCAAGGACGAGGCCGGAGTACAAACAATCACCAGGAAACTTGATCCCACGGAAAGAAATGAGGTCAGAAATATTACTGATTAACACCTACTTTTTTGTGCAAGGTAAGCAACAACAATTGTGTGTGTTTGTGTGTGTCGGGCACAGTGTGTGGGAGGGCTGGGGGGGGGGTGTTCTCCGTCATTGCGGAAAACAGCAAGGGAGTGTGTTTTGTGTGTAATTGGCCAAGGTTACAAACCTCAATAAATCAAAGCAACGCCAGTGTTTCAAACAAGGACACAGCGATGGTCACACAACAGGAAAACTCTTCATACTCACATGCTCTTACTCCCCCTAATGGCTGAACTCTCAACATCTGCCTTGGGGCTTCGTCCAGGGCTGAGTCCTTCACTTCCTGTCCGGTCCCAACCCTGCGTCCGTTTAAACGTTCATCTTGTTGACAGGATACGGAGGTAAAGACAGTCATGTGACTCATCACCTCCCAACTTATTTTACAGCTAACACTGCTGCAGCTGAATTTTGTCAACGTAATAATGACAATTGCTAACATTTTTCATTAAAGCTAGTGACTAGTGACTAGTATAAAATGCTGCTAATATGCAACAGACTTGCATCTATAATTTGTTACTTGCTAACTAGTGCACATAGTGCCACCTGTAGGCCAGTCAAGGGGAAGCAACATGCTTAAAAAAATGAACAGTAACAGAAGCAAAGTGACTTTTTCTTCAACAGTTAGTAGAGATGTGCGATCATATCGACCAATCGATATTAACATGATTATGTCGGTAAGAATCGTTATGGGATTTCTCTAATATTGAAAACCGGATAACCCAGTGCCTGGGTTTTGCCCAGATGATGTAACCCATAAATAGTTTTGCATATATTGGTATCGGTTAATATAAGTATCGGAAATTAAGTGTTTGGACAATATCGGCACATCAGATATCAGCAAAAAGTTACCATCGGACATCACTAATAATGAGTTTTGTTGCTAATAACCGACAATAATTTGGTTGAAAATAGAAAAAAAAATCAATTTCCTGTCCAAAAGCGTAAAAACACAAATCTCTGCTGAAACATGTTTTTCTTTTAAAATGACGTCAGCTTTTCCTCCACCTGGATCTGCTGTTAAAACCAGTAACTGCAGAAATCTCTGGAAAACTGTTTTGAGGCATCAGTTGTTTCTGCTGTGTTTTTGTTTTCTAGTTCGCCTCAAGTAAAGAAGTTTCGTACCATTTCAGACACTACAAACAGGCAGACTGGATATTTTCACTGTGCCTGTGTACATGCAACCCTGGTGTGTGCTGAATTAATATTTTCTGGAAAGAAAAATAGTCTCCGTGTCTTTTTGTGGCGCTCGGATAAAGAGAGAAAACATCAGACATCAGGCGTCAGACAGAGATGGAGAGAGTGAGAGGAGTCTGACAGATTTCAGTGGCGATCTGCCTGGCAGCTATTTCTGCAGTGCTTTTTATGTAGTGAAAATACGTAAAAGTGAAGTGTGCATCACATGCAGCTAAATCGTCAAATGGTGACTCTACACCTACAAAACACCTGCAACCTTAAGCTGGGATCAGGGAAGTTTACAGCTCACCTCAGCTCACTTTAGACTTTGTTTTTTTGTGTTTATTTTAAAAGTACGATAATCGCCAGAATGAAAACCAACAGAAGAGTGAGCCCAGGCTCGGAGAGCCTCTGAACACACCGCTTTGTTCTGGCTGAATCTGTATCAACCGCATGTCTTTTACAACCGCAATGGATGCAAATCCAAATGAAGCAGATCAATCAAACTGCCCCCGCTCTCCCCCAACTCAACAACCCATTTCTCCCACCAGCAGGGAAAACAGCTGCCATCAAAGTGGAGCTAAAAACAGAAAACTTTGCCTTCACTCAGCCAGGTTTCCTTCAGAGAGCAGTGGGGTATGA